GTGAGTGTTCCCCAACCCTCAGCCCTAGAAGCCTCTGGTGCTGGTGACCCTTTCTCACCCTTAGAGGACCCAGTGTCCGTCTCCATGACACACTTGTTAGACCAGGCCAAGGCAATACTGCAGAGCCACATCACCTCCAAATGTGGGCAGATTCATGAGGACAAAATCCCTGTCCATGTTTATAGGTCTTGGGAGTGCATAATTCCTGGGAGTCTAGAAGTGGCTCCCTTCACCTGCATCCCAGAAAGCAAGCCCCTGGAACTACAGGCAACAACTGACCCTGACCTACAACAGAAAGTTATGCCCTGGATGCCAACAGCCCTTGATCAGCAGCAACAGGCCTCACCAGGTTCTGTCATTGAACATCCTAAGCTGTCCCGAATGCTGTCCGAGAAAGCCACTGAGAAACTGGAGACAACTTTACGGCACAAGTATCTGGCCTTCTTGTCAGGGCTGCCTGCTCTTTATTATGTGGCTCTCTCCAAGACCAAGGCCCCGGCCATCACTACCAAATCTATCATCGCAGAGGTGGTGCCAGAGCCTGTTGAAATCCTAGCAGAACCTCTGACTCAGATGATCCCATGTGAAGAACAGTGTCTAAGTCCTGAGCCATGCTTTCAAGGTGCGAGCGAGACTTGTGCAGACATTGCAGATGAGTTCCAGGCTGAAGTGCAGGTGGAGGGAATGATCGAGATGGAGCCTCTAGAAAGCCAGGCACAGCCTGCCTGCCCCTACTCACTCAAGAAACCCATCTTGGCAAAACTCAATTTCCATCTGAGAAAGAAGACCCTAGAGACGCAATGGGGGATACCCATAAAGGCAAGGGAGTCCAGGGAACAAATTCTAGCCATCCCAGAGAACACATCCACACAGGAGCCTCTTGGGAGTCTAAACAACCAAGGAGAAACATTGCTCCAGGAACTCCCCATCCCACCAGACATTCCTCATGCCCCAGATACACAATGGCTCCACCTTAAAGAACAGCTGGCCATTGAGTTAAAGGCAGCGCAGCAGACCCAGAAGCAGCCTAGTTCCGGAGCAGCACCCTATGGTTCTGCCCATTCGTCCTCCACTATCTCTCAGCCCCACGGGAACATGACAGAGGCCCAGGTGCTTTGTGTTCAGCTGGAGGCCGGTGTGAACAACCCCAGCCTGGAGGAGTCCTGGAGCCCTGAGCCCCAGAACCCTGGCAAGAACAAGGACTCAGTCCAAGTCCCCATGCTGGAAGTAAAGGGAGAGGACCC